CTAAAAACAACAACAATTGCCCTTGTTATTTTTATCTTTCTTTATTATTATTATTATTATTATTAATGTGTGCTAGAAGATTTGTGGTGGTAGAGTAATGAATTATCATCTTAGCATCGTACGAGAATCCGACGCAAACTCAAATAAAAGAAAACAACCAGTACAAACTCTAGAGGTTCTTACTTGGAAAATATGGAAAGAGAAAAAACTTCGGGGTCTTGCAGTTGAAATGTTTCACTATGAGTTGGTGATTACAAATACAACTCTTTATCCTACAAGCAGAAAAAGTTACATAGTTTCTAAAGTTACAATGCTCGTGACCAGAAGAACTCGATGCCTCGCAGTGGGTAGCGTCGCAGTGAGGAGTAATTACTTGAGCTTCAATACACCGTCTTCGGTGTGGGTTGACGTTTAGGATAATGCATTACTTCGTAGGTTGCCACGTGATTCTGCAGTGTCGGTTGTTGCTTTGCATGATGTTTCGTCGTAAGGAGTGGTTTATCGAGCAATAGTTAGAGTTCAAGAAAGTGCTTTTCGCCACATTCAAGCTTAGGAAAGAAAGTCAAGATTGTATGTTTCTCAGTCCCAATAAACTGAAATGGGGCATTCTGCCCATCTAAGAGTCTATTCTAGCAAACCAAGGGAAGCAACTTCTTTGTCCTAAAAAGGGTTTCCCCTAACTTCCAACAGGGCATTCATTCGTGAAACCTGTTCTTCTTTGTCCCAACAACCTACCTTCCTAGCCTAGTAGCCCTGATCCCAGATCAGATTCACATGCACAAGCTAACCGACCCTTCTAGGAGTCATCCCTTCTTTATCTGCAAATCAGATTCTAACTGTTAGGAATCTCGATTGTCAGTCTTTATATCGGAAAGAATCCTCCATCAACAGACATGGAAAAAGAGCAAGCCAAGACTTTCACAGGTCACCGGCAACCGGTGAGCGGTGGTCTGCTACTGCAGGAGTTAGAAGTATACACCGAATTGTCAGTGTAGAATACCAGATTTCAGCTCTTTATTCTCCAGGCTTTGGTCTTCTTCTGAGTCATTGTCTCATCCTCCTTTCAAGAGTGGGTAGGACTCTATTTATAGAGTCCAGGTTGCAAATAATGAAGAAATCTGAACCACTCCATTAGATGACCCCTCGATCAGACAACATTATGTGAACATCTAAATTTCTTAATGATGTTGGAATTGAGTAGTATTGGGCTTATTGGACTCTTCTTGTCGAGATACTCAATTTAAATATAAACACATCTTATTTGGAATCCATTTGACCTTCCAATTATACACTGAAAGCTTCTAAAAGTTGTTTAAAAGCTTGATCTGGCCTTGAGCTAAGTCTGATTTAACTAGTTTTGATATCATTATGTTCTTCCAGTCGAGTCGGTCGGTTTGACTATAAGTTCGTCGAAATCAGAGTTCTAGATGATTTTTTAATCGAATATTGTACATTTTTTGGTCAAAAATTTCCTCGAGATTCATGCCATCTCTTGAGATTCATGTTGGATGATGGAAATTCGTTGGTGGCGTATTAATTATTATTATTTTCAGTTTTCACAAAAATCAAAGGAAAATGTGGAGTGTTAGTCGGTGATGAGAGGTGATGGGTATCAATGCTGTAAAGGACAAATTAAGTACTTTTATATACACTTCAAACTCTAAAATTTACCTAAAATATGACAACTCAAATACGAAAAGTCATTAGGTGTACTTATTATATATCGCGAAGCAATTAAAACATGTTGAAATAAAAAGGAATAAAGTAATATGAAAATGAATAAGAGAAATCATAATTGGCCTCCATCACTCTAGCTGATCTTACCTAATTTCCATTTTGGCAGCTCAGCTATGTTTGAAAAACTCTTATAGTATGTGGGTCCAAGTTAAAAAAGTGGCCTGACGGCAAGGCTAACTGCTTCTCTTTAGTACACGGAATAAGTATATTTCTAAAACTATATTTTGGTTTCTCTTGTATAATAAACTTTCATATTATAGCTAAATCACTCAGTATATTGTAATTTCTAAATATACTTGTGATCACAGTTTTACATTGAGCAAAGTCTGCTCCTCTTTTCATTAATCGCGGTTTTCTGTAAGACTTTTAATAATTGGAAAAGGCTGTTACTAAGCTTCAAATACAAAAATAGATTTATGACAATTTACACAATCACCCAGTGTAGTTCTATTCTCGAAAGAATGGTAAAAAGGGCTCATAAAGTAAACCATATTGCTGTTAATGATGGGCTCGCTCTTTTTAACTTTCAATTTCATGATGGATAGAAAATGATCACTGTGAATCCTTTTAGGATGTAGAGTCCATATTGTTTGTGAAATTCATACAATCTGAAAAAGCACTTGTGAAGGAGGTAGAAGGGAGCTGAAGATTTCAGAATGTTTGTGTTGTTATAGATGTTGGTGAGGAATTCTCGAATAGAGAGTCTCCATTCTTATTTATTTCTCCTATAATGTATTTGTCCTCACAGGGCTACAAAGAATGAACAAATGTTGTATTGTAGTTGTTGTATTAAGGCAGCTGAGAGTGGTTGTTGATGGGATACCGCCATGGGTGTCATGTGACTCATAAATGGGCATGGTTAGTGATGGGCAGGAGCTCCCTTCTTCTTGTCTTTCAGTCGGCCTTGTAAGAGTGTTTAACAAACTCATTGGTGTAGCTGGTAAATGCAGGAGATCTCATTAAAGGAGCTCATGGATGCGTGCGATCTAGATGGAAGAGTTTGGTAAGCATAGGGTCACATGAATACTGACGTGCTTGATGGAGGACGTATGAATACTGGCGAGCTCACTGGAGGACTCGTTAAGTCCTTCTGAGAGGCAAGTTCTGCGGCTATGACTTTGATAGATGTGATCTGCAAACATAATCTACTTTCAACCTACTTTCAACCAGGCTTTAGATGTGACAAATGGACTCATTTTGTTAGGCCCAAAAGGCTCATTAGTGTTGGGGCTTTCCTAAAAGCTTGCATATTCTACTTTTATATGTACAATTACTAATTTCATTAATCAAGCTGCGAAAATCTTATATTGAGTTTTAGATAAATTTTGTTAAGGCTCATGTGAGTATTAGGTTTAGTCTCATTTCTTACAAAGATGAATATTTCAGTTAAAAAAGAAATAAATAAATGATTGACCACTCATAGCTTAATTAAGGTTTCGGATTGAAAGCACGTCTAGTTATTGGTGCTTCTAGGCCAAATTTTATCTCCCTTCGGTACACATTTTTCAATTAATTAGACTCAATAGTTCGGATTAGAATGAGCGAGTCATTGAGTTTAATTACGTTCCTATGGATCTTGTCCGCTCCGCTTTAATCAAGGATGAGTATAGTTCAAAGATCTGGTGCCTCATACAACAAATTCACATGATTTGTTGGGCTTTAGGTGCATGATACTTGATAATATTTTAATTTGAGGGGGGTGATGACCTTTGTGGAGAGCTCTCAGGCGAGTTGAGTATGTTAAAACACGTGAAGGTATTAATTTAGGACTTGTTTGGGATCTTTTTTGTTTTTCCTTTTATTTTCAAAATAAATTTGATTAGTGCAATTTTTAGCTTGCTCCAGTGACGTACAAAATTAGAGAAAGCCGTTTTAGATGGTTTGGTCACATTAAACATCGACCATCTGATGATTCGATTAGGAGAATATATGTTTTAGATTCGACTTAGATTAAGAAAGGCAGAGGTAGACCTAGGAAGACATGGGTTTATTGTATAAAAAATGATCTTAATTTATTAGAACTAAATGAAAATATGACACTAAATAAGACGCAATAGAGAAAAATGATTCATTTAGCTGACCCCATGTAGTGGGATTAAGGCTTTGTTGTTGTTGTGCATTTTTTATATGTTTTTTTTTTGTTAAACAAATTAACTTGTTTTTAGAAAAACTCGAAACATTTAAAATTATTTTGAGCATTTTAAAAAATAAGCATATTATAGCATATCAAACAGATTTTATTTCATGTAAAAATAAATATGAAACAAAACAAAACAAAAAAAATAAATACTAAAAAATGATCCCAAACGGCCCCTCAATCTCGTATCGAATTATTAGATAATATATTTGTGTAGAAATGTCAGCTCTTTGCTCTCTCCCACAGACTTGACCTTTTGAATTAAAAAAAGAAAAAGTCCATTATTGTATTTAACCTAACCTTGATCCCGATTTAATTCGCACTTTCCAAAAAAATTAAAATTGTTGGCGATAAACTCAAAAAAGTTTACTTTTATACCAACCCAACAACTCTACCTGCTTTATACCAACTATCATGCCATTGGACTGCTTCAGATTTATCACACATCATGATGAAGTGAACGTTATAGCTTATGTCACTTTGCAATTTTGAAATATGTTCCCAAGCGATAATATTTAACAGGTTTTAATCTCCAGGATGACAATTATTATTATTATTATCAACAACTCAACATGCTTCTTCTAATCTAATCGCTCTACTGGTTTATTCAACATATCTCATCACTGCTCTAAACTATTAGCACTTCTTTTTTTAAATTCTTTGGTCCAATTAGTGGTGGTAGATTATTTTTTTATAATTGATCTTCCTATGCAAAAGCATCTGAAAGCAATTATTGCTTAGTTGAAAGTTACAGGCTGCAGTGCTAAGATAAGATGCAATAAGTGACTTAAATATTGGATTTGTGTGCTTGATTGCCAAAATGCTAAATTAAATTTTATTTTTGTGGTTTTGTGATCATTGAATTTGAATTTTTTCTTGCTTTTTGGGCTACTTTTGCTTACCTTCCTAAACCATTCTGGGATGAAGTTCAGTACTGTAGAGGTTGAGTTTCCTCTATTCTTCTCTCTTAATGTTTATTTTTTTTTTAAATTTAATTTTTTTTATTTTTTGTATTGATACTGAATGGAATTTTTCTTGTTACTTGAATATTATGACTCTTCTTATTTATACTGAATTTTAATATTTTTAATTTCATTCTAAAGTGACTGCATTTATGAAATGGTAGGTTTTAAGTACAAGTAGAGTTGAAGTTGCCAGGGCTGTGGCACAGATTATAGTAAACGCATCTCTACATTCAATTAAGGTAATTACAGGAAAAAAAATGCTTTCAGGCTTATTATGTCACAGAACTTGAGTTTCATTTTCTTTTTTCTGTACCTTACTCTGTTAAGTTTCTTTAACTTTCTCCACCGTGAATATTATCTTCTGCTTTGATGTTGTTGAAGTAGCTTTTTTTTTAGTTCATCATTGTTTTTTTAAATTATGGCATGAATATATTCGTGATAGGGTTGGTGTAGCTCCTGTGACGGACAAAGTTAGAGAAAGTCGTCTTAGATGGTCTGGTCACATTAAACGTCGACCATCTGATGATCCGATTAGGAGAGTAGATGTTTTAGATTTGACTTGTGTTAAGAAAGGCAGAGGTAGACCTAGGAAGACTTGGGATTATTGTATAAAAAATGATCTTAATTTACTAGAACTAAATGAAAATATGACACTAAATAGGACGCAATGGAGAAAAAGGATTCATGTAGCCGACCCCACGTACTGGGATTAAGGCTTTGTTGTTGTTGTTGTTGTTGTATGCTTATTAATTATCAAAATAAGCACAAATTTGCTGATTTTTATTTAAAAATGATTTTGGTAAAGTGGAATGAGCAAATCATAAAACAAATGATATGAGAACTGTAAGTAAGGCTTTGCTGTGGATAAAGTTACTGTTTCTCTAACATATATGAATGAGTTGCTATAGAAATCAAAGTTATAAATTCTGGATTTTTAAGTGTAAACCAAATAAAACATTTCCAAACAATGCCATGGAATTATTTAACTTGCTTCTTTGCAAGTAGAATTAGTGTTTGCTGAGTGAATTTTAACTAAGCTATATGATGCTTAAAGAGGTTATGTGTTAATCGAAATAATGTGGGTTTATTGTATCTGTGTTTCTATTTGTTTAAGATGGATTAATTTTCAACGTGAATTTATAAACTTGTGCTATAATATAGGGATGAGTTTTGTTGAAATTGTGTAGTCAAAATTTCTTCTTCTCAATTCTTTATAAGATGTGATTGGGATCAATTTATTATTTTGGATTGAGATTTGAGATTAAATCATTCTTGCGTGTTATAAGATCTTTTGTTCATTTAAAAGAGATTTTGTAGAATTCTATCTGATATAGTAATTCAATTTTGTACTTTTATGCTCTTCTCTTTGTTATCATTATAAATAGAGCCGTTGAAGGAGTAAATGAAGGGAGAGGGGAATGGTGGTGAGAGAGAGAGAGAGAGAGAGGCTTCCAATGGAGAAAAAATAGAAACTTCTTGCAGCTTACAAATGAGGTCTTTAGCTTCCTCAAGAGAAGAGCTATTATTTTTTGGTTTCAGCAAGAGTAGAAATTTTTAACTAGTGAAAGGAGAAACCCTCTTTTGGACCAATGCATTAGAATGTTATTACTAATGATGATAATAATTGCAATAACATCTTGCTCTTAATGACCAACCCTCCTCTTTGCATCAGGTATGTCTGATCACTCGATATACCCCTTTTTGAACCTTAGTGAATTATTTAATCTTTGTGTAAATGTGAATATAGTTCAATTTCAATAAACCACCCAAAATCTATATGCGTTTGTGTTTTAGTATTTGTTGACTTTTCGTATTAATATTTTTTTCATATCAATATCATCCTATTAATTAGTACCAAAGCTTTTGTTTAGAGATATTTTGGTTCTGAGCACAAGGGTGAGAAGAGCAAAATTGACAAATTTGATGGTCAGAACTTCAATTTTTCAAATATGTTGATAAAAAATTGTATGGACAAGAGAAAACGTGATATTGAACTCAAGTTTGGAATGTCAAATAAGGCACGAAATTGGACTAAAGTGCATCATTTTATTTTTTTTACGAGATAATCAATGACAAATTATTGCACATATAATTATAGAAAAATATATATTTTCTAATGTTGAGCCTTTTACTATTGTTTGTATTGGAGGTTGACATGTAAGACAATAATTGATCACACTTGAAAATTGAAAAAGTTTATCTCTGGGAAGAACATGATCTCTATTACAAAACAAGCTAAAAAAGAATGTGATGCCACTTTTAATGCTTGATGGTTCTAAGGGGAAACATGATGGACACTTTTTTGCATCACCCCTAATATAAGAATATGGGAGCCTCCATTAGTATAAATATTGATTTAGATCTATAAGAATGACATAAAAAATCTTCACGCGAAAGGTAAAATTTTGAATTTAAAGTGTTAAATCCGTTTTATGCAAATATTATATTTTAGGAAAATAAAGATATGTTAATTTCTTTGAGTTTGGGAGAGGGTTAAGAACATAAAGGCTAAAGATGGCGTCACAAATGTATGGGGTCTATTCCCATTACTTTATTGACAAGATTAATATACTACATTACATTCTTAGATGAAAACTCCAGGAAGGTGTGAATTTATTATGAAATAATTAAATTTGATATATTTTTTACTTTTGTGAAATGGAAAAGCTGAGTGAAGAATACACTTGGATATAAAATTGAGTGCTTCGGATCTAGCAATGGTAGGGAGTATGACTAAATTGAATTCAAAAATTATTGTGCCAGTTAAATGTATGTAGGGAGAGAATGGTCCTGAAAACTCCATAGCAAAAAGGAGTTCTTAAGAGGATGAATAAAAATTTTAATAAACATGCAAAGAGCATGAAACTACATGCAAATCTCTGGACTATTAGTTCCAGTTTATTTTGAGGTTCTTTTAAAGCATAGACAAACAAAAAGCTATATATCTCATTTAATGATTTGTGTTTCTTATCATATGTATTGGTTGATCAAATTGCCATAGTCAAGCTTACGCCCAAAAAGTGTAACTTTCATTAGATATATAGGAATGACTCGACAAAAAAATTGTAGACATTGAAATAAAAAGAACCATCAAGAGCGGAAATGTTATCTATAATGAGTATGTACTATATACGTATTGGTCAATCACCAACTCCTAAGAAATCATCAATCCAAATAGTATTAAATTGGACAAGTCATGAATAAGTTAGGGAATGCCATAGAAATTTTTGGAGTAGCTTGTGCTTAATACATATGTAACCCAAGTCAAAATTCGTATTGAAATCCCTAGTTAACTAACTCTTATTCTTTTTATTGTATTGCATGGTCCTTATGGAAGTATGAGAATCTAAATGCCATAAATAAGCAATCCTAATGAACAATTATTTAGAGCGAGACTTGCTATAAAAGAAGTGACGAACATTAAATAAAAATGATATCATGATGTTAGCCAAGTTGCCTAAAGATAAGATTGAAGGAATTGTCAAACAAATGAATATATAACATAAATGAAGAATATGTAAGGACTAAAATGTGCAAGGAGAGCATTGTTAGAAAGATTTAACAAAAAGAATTTATGGATTTTGCTGATATTTTTGCACTCGTTCGTGAACCGATGATTACTTAATTAAAATTGAGTTATATAGCAACGAAAGATAAATACCTTAAGCATATGGGTACCGAGATAACTTTTTTATATGATGATTGAAAAGAATACATCATATGGCTCAATCCAAAGGTTTGATTGAACCAATAAAAGAAAACCTTGTATGTAAGCTTAATTAAAATCTTTATGCTATGAAACAAGTGCCTTATCAATCATGCAAACAATTTGATGTGCTCATACTTAGGATCTAATTATGCATTCAAAGCATTGACCATCACTATTATTTTAATGGAATATGAAAATATTATATTATTATAGATATAGGAGACTTGTTAATTATAGGGTCTTATTGTAAAAAGTTCAACAACTTAAAAAGATAGTAATAAAATGAATTTGACGTAACAGATCTACAGAAAGCAATAAGATTCTCTTAATAAAAATAGATCATAACAAGGCCTTAAGTACCTTAAGTCTTCTACTATCACAATATATTGAAAATGTATTGGATATGTTCAATATAACAAAAGAAAAACTATAAATACATTTCTTGATAACCATTTTTGATTATTTTAAAAAATAAACATTAACCTTAAAAAAAAACATATTGCTAAAGTCTCCCACTTTTTAGTTGTTGGATACATGAAATGAATTTTTCATGACTAGGTATTGCATAAAAAATTATAATTAAATATATGTCAAATCATGATAAGAAAATATTAAGGAGTAAAGTGGATATCATGCAATCTTAAAATTAAAATAAACTATTCTTTGAAGTTTAAAAGATTGAGTTAAAATTATAGGCCTATGTTCAGATATTATGGATACATAAACATATGTGAGAGTACCATTGACTACATCTAAACATTTGGCGGTTTTCAATCAGTTGGATCCAACAGTTGAAGAAGGTAAGCGCCATATTAACTACAAAAATGAATTTTTCTCATCACTAAACTAGCAAGGCGATGATCAGGCTTAAAAGCTTTTTAAACCAGCTATAGGCTAGAAGAAGACATTATCACACTTAGAAAAATCTCATACAACTCAGGTATCACCACATATTAACTTATGTGAATAATTATATAAGTGTGCTTCATATAGAGGCGTTGTATATCATACATTAAGCTTGATATAAGTTTGATCTTGTATTGGAGATTGTTAAAATTATCAAAAAATGTCTTGGATAATCACTATAAGACATGATTGGGAGTTATTACTTAATGTGAATATTGAAATGAGATTTGCAAAAGTATGGTTAAATCCTTTTATGAGCTATAAGAAATAATAAGAAAAAGAAGATATGAAAAGATGGGGAGAGTGAGGTGCCAATCGAGATTAGAGGAGCTTTGGGTGCTTTCATTAGAGGTCTTCAATTCCTTCATAAGGGTGATGTGTTATTAGTTTCAGTTTTGGCAAGACAATAAGCTTTTGTCTATAATAGGGAGTAATTCTCATTTAGATCTCTAAAATAAAGAAAGAAATATAATAAATATAGCATCAATACTTTATTTATCATGCCCTGACCTTATTTTCAATGTTGTAGGCTAATTTCTATCTTAGACATTGATATAGACAATATAATATGTCTTTATCTTCATCTTTATATGAAGTCAATTACTTCATGTACACATCTTTTAAAGCTAGTGGGCTAGCTAATCTCTATGGGCCATGGATGTGACTTAATATCACAATATCTCAAATATTTTGCATGTGTCGTATGCATCTCTTTGTATAATTGATGTACTTAGCTTCTAGCCTTAATGTTTTTGCTTATTACTTCTAGTCTAAAAAATACTTATTTTGTTGCAATTGTTTATTCTCGAACATCATCAACTTTATTAGTTGATCTCATCTTGACGGATCCGTCTTCCACATTCATATATGTTGGTTGTACTCGGTGTTAACCCTAATTTATTTTAATAATTTGTCACAATATCTAATCATTGTTACTATTGATTTATTCTTTTTTGGTATCCTATTCATTGCCTACAATGCTGAATGATATATCTTAAACACTTTCAGATTCAAGCGGATGCCGCCAAAAGTCGAGGAATCAAGCATTGTTTGTGGGAGATAGAGTCAACAGAATACAATGAACGACAAGTGAAGAAGCAAATGGAAGACATAATTGGATGTGCAATGCAATTCCTCGAGTTCAAAGCCATCTACATAATGCCAATATCATTAGGTAATACTATTTTTTGCTCCCACATTCAATCCTCCAACCCATATAACTTGAATTCCTTTGGGGCTGAAGCCCCGTCATAGGTTTCAGGTCGTGGGTCACCTCTTTGCACGTGCCCATCAACAACTCCTACATACTTTTATTATTATTATCATTAGAGATAAGTTCATGCATTGCACTCGAAACCTTGCTATTTACAAAAATAGCATCCATGTCATTTTCTTTGAGCTAACCAACCAGTGTATTTGTACGTGCCACAATCTAATCATTGCAAATATGGATTGAGGTTTTATTGTGAATTTTGATGTTTAATCGAGAACTTGAAAAACTGCTGAAAGAGGTGCTAGTTTCGTAAATAGCAAAGTTTTGAGTGCTATCTATGTAATTGCCTTATAATTAAGGGATAATTATTATTATTATTATTATTATTATTATTATTATTATTATTATTATTATTATATTTGTCACTCATATGAATCATATAACTCGCTCTCTTTCACTTCATTTATATAATTGGGTTGATTAAAAAGAGATTTATAGACATCTTTATTTGTTTGATTTATTGGAATTGAATGTTGTGCTCCTCCTTGTCTTTTTATTGTTGGTTAATTCAAAAATTATTTTACATTTTTCAAAATTGATTACACTTTTACCACTTTGTTTGGCCAATGTGCATATAAACGACCCATAAGATTATTCATCAATTTTGAAAAGAAAATTTTGATGCATCAAAATGGATGAAAAAAGATGGTAAAAATTATGAAATTATTTGTGCCACTAAATTTAATGATGAGTTTATAAATATAATTAGAAATGATCATATTCATGTTATGATAAACCTAAATGAGTCGTTATAAGGACCTTAAGAACTTATTGAAATTTGTAAAAGAAACCTTTGAAGGGTATTCCTCCAAAACATAATGTTATAAGCACTTTAGTTGAAATCTAAGGATCTGTTTGGGACAGCCGCAGCTTATTAAAAACAGCTGTGAAATTATTGAAAAATAATTTGATGTTAAAAAAACTGTGGTGGTCATTACAATTTTTTTTTTCAAAAACGTTAGACCGTAACTAGAAAATTGCAATCACACCTAGTAAGAATTGATGAGAAAACACAGATTTCAACTGTAGTTTTTTAAAAAAGCTATCAAAATGCAGTTTACACAAACAAATGAAACTACGGTGCGGTGCAACATCGCCGCCCAAAACGAACCTAAGTTTTATATAATTTCACTGAAGTATTTCTTTAAGAAACAAGAGGTAAAAGACTATTGTCATGTGTATATTTAGTGCAATTTCATTCTAGCAATTTCGCCTAATTTATTTCTCACATCTGATTAAGATGCAAAAATTATATTTATATTTATTATTTCCTATGTTTTACTATATTAAAGCTCTATAATTCACGGCCATTACATGGGGGTAAAATATTGCTACATTTCAAAATGTTGTGCTGAAACTTATGAAGTTGCAAATTCATGTACAATAAACCCAAAATGATTTGTGATTCTCATAAATAAGAACTATTATAAAGTGGAAGGTTATCAATATAATACATATAACTTATATAAATTATAATTTTATTTATTTTTGAAAAGAATTTACATAAATACCATAAAATGATTTTTATTATTGGCAACCTTTATAGATTAAAAGCTCTAAATCTTAATTCTTTCTCCTATCTAAATTCTGAAGGAATCCACAAGTATCACAAACTTCTTCTCTTCGTCAAACAAACATTGTTGAGCCCAACGACGCCTTTCATCTCTTAAACGAGTCGTTTTCGAGTCACTCACACATTGTGCTAGAGTTTGATTAATTAATCGAGTACGAGCTCAAGCTTAAGTTTACGAGTCCTAGTTGGCTCACGAACTTGACTTGTTTATTAGAAGAGTAATAAAATAATATTAATTTAAGTTAGTGCAATAATAAAATAACTAAAGAAATAAATAAATAGAAGAAATAATAAGAAATCATTTAATATAAAATATAGAATATAGAATATTATTTTTATGACACATAAATTTTATAAAATTTATATTCCTTACAAAATAAATTTCATAAAATTCTAATTTATTCGCTTAAGTTGACTCCACATTGAAATATTTAATTATTTTTCTAATTCTTTTTCTTAATGATGCTTGAGCAGCTAATCACACAAATTAGGGAACATCTGCTTGTTAAAATAATAGTTAGATGATATTATATTCCTAATTAGAATCTTAACCAAATCTATCATCGTGTTATGTTTATTTATTTATTTATTGAATTGAAATGTATATTGAGTTTTAAATATTGATGATTGAACCATATAATTTAATTATTAGATGATTGTTTAATATAATTTAATTTAAATTAATTGTGTTTATTATTGTTGAATCCTTTTAGGACGTCGGATTTAATAATCTAAAGGGACTCGTTTCATCAGTGTAATTTATAAATTTTAGGACGTCGGCTTTTATAACTCGGAAAGAGACCTGTATAAAGGTGGAGATCCGAAATCGGTTCGTGAACAGTGTGTTCTTGTTCGGCTCCATTTAAATATTCGTGTTCGTGTTCGGCTCGAAATTGGCTCGTTAAACTAAAATTGAGAAAAATAGATGTAAAGTGTGGGATTCAAACGTGGATCAAATCCATACAAAAGAAGACACTAATCACATTGCCACATGAAATGTTATGATTTAAACTTAGACATAAATATATATAATATATTATTATATAAATAATATATGTAATATACTGTTGTTCGTGTTCGGCTCGTTTACATTTTGAGCTTAAAAATTTGTTTGTGTTCGGCTCGTTAGGCTTAACGAACGAACCGAACACGAGCTGTTCACGAACAATGAGCCAAATCGACAGCCCTAAGACGAGGAGATGATCTTACTAGAGAGAGAGAGAGAGATGAATGAGGGGGCTCATGAATGGTGATGTAGCATAAGTCAAAACCTTTAATGTTTAGTATTGCTTAGGATTTTTGCCAATATCCGAGGACCACAGGCTGAGGCGATTTCAATGGACTGGTCTGATCGGCGTCGTAGCTCCTGGGAAGGTGATAAATGGTACTGAATCTCTTAGGTCAGTCCGACATGTCAGTTCAGCGAGTCATTCAGGTAGGTGGGTTTAATGGATCTAGTTGAGGCATGTAATGTGATTGATGATGGACTTCGATTCATGTCGTTCTTCATGTAACTATTAGCGCATAATCGGTCCAAGAAAGTCTATTTATTCTATTACGTGCCCATGGCAGTCAATTATCAGCACACAAATACATAATATTTATATTATTTAATGAAGTTCAAATACTTATAAGTTAAAATATTTAAACTCAAATATAATTATTTTTTAAACATTTTTATAGAATATATATATATATATATATATATATATATTGTCTTACCTATGCATGAAAAGGAATATTTCATTTTAAAAATTAAAATAGTGATATTTTTTTAGGTGATATAAAATATTTGGGTATTTAATATAAAAAGCTAATTTTAAATAGTATATATATAAATACATATATAGAAAATGCACCTAAATATAAATAGAGTCTATGTATCCCATGCCTAAATTATTTTTATTTAAATAAAAAAAATCAAATTATATTTCCAATTAATCATAACTTATCTTTAAGAACTATTTCATGATGCTAATTATTAATTACACAAACTAATTAAGAATAGACTAATTCATTAATAATTTATAAGGAATAATAAGTAGTTAATAAGTAAATATGTTGCAGCTTAACTTATCAGTTGAACGATTGAGATTTAATTATAATTAATTACAAGCAAATGATCATTATGTTAAGCTTAATTAGCTTTTTTTTTATTCTAATGAGTACAGGATGCATACTTAAGACTGAGTTAATAAATAAAAAAATATGATTGGTTAATATAATTATTTTGGCTTAATCAAAATTTGATTAAGCTAACTAGGGATTTAACAATTGATTAGAATAATTAAATGGTGAATTTAGTAAATCAATATTTTGTAAGTTATGAGCAATTAAAAAATTAGTATGGCAAGAATAAATCAGAATTATTTTAATTTAATATGACTAATCATGCACTATTGGCCTTCCAAATTCTTAAGAAAACACTCGGCCTGGATGATTAGATCGTATTTAATTACTAATTTTATTTTAAGTAGGGATTAGGTGAATTATGATTAAACAAACTAGTCTTCAACTAGCCTTAGGACCCGTTTGGGCAGCTTATAAGTGCGGCGACGTTTTTGAAAATGCAGCTGAACCATTTGGTTTGCACGTTTTTTAGAACGTTGTCTGCCGCGTTTGAGTTTTTTACACTAAATGCAGGCCGCAGGTCGACCCACGGGCCGCGTTTCATGATAAGCTGTTTATCTTGAAACGCACAAGCTGCCCCAAACAGACGCTTACATAGATATCAATTAATCAATTATTAAACGTATTGATCATCTTATTTATTGATAATAGCTTAATTATCATGGCGTTATCTTTAAATTGTTAGAAAATATCCTAAATTTAAATTATTTGATGAATTAGTATTTTATCATGAATATTTGCACTCATTAAACATAATAATTCATTGATAAGCATAATTAATTAGTGGTCTTGTATTAATGAAGATTTTATTTACACTAATTAAGGATTATTTTAATTTAATTTGGCTCTGTAACTACACATTGATTTCCTTTAAATTTATATTTAAAAGCTTTAAAATAATATTTCATCCGATTTAGATTTTAAATTAATATCCAGAACCTCCTAAATTTTAAATATGACAGATTCGCAGTATGACAAGATCACAACCGTTGGACAATACACACCAGCAGGATCGAACGGCCAGTTGACTCCCCTCGCTAGGGCTGTCAAAAAAGCTCGTTGTTCGCGAACAGTTTCTGTTCGGTTCGACAATGAATTCGTGTTCGATTCGTTCGATAAATAAACGAGACGAACGTGAACCAAATTTTTTCGTTCGGTTAGTTAAACGAACCGAACACGAACAATGATGCGTTCGTTCGTGTTCGAATCGTTATTGTTCAAAATATAAAATAATTTAAAATAATTATATATAAAAAATTTAATATTTAAAAAAAAAAATTTCATAACTATAATATTATAATAAATTAATAATAACAATAAATTAATATACTAATATATATATATTATTTATTTATATAATATAAATTATATAATTAATATATTATATTCTTTCTATATATTAATATTAAGCATGTCAAACTAGCTCGTCATTCGCGAACAGTTCGTGTTCGGTTCGTTCGTTAAGAAACCAACACAAGCAGTGACTTCACGAACAATTTCGAACACGAGTTTATTTCATACAAACTAAATTTCAAATGAACCGAACACGAACATAAGCTCTATTCATTAGTGTTCATTTTGTTTACACCCCTACCCCTCACTGTACGCGTTATTGTCGCCGTTGGAAAGCTCTCAACCATTCAATAAAAAGAATTAAAAAAAACAAAAATCATAATAATATATTTAAGAAAAATGATCCACTTAAACGAATATTTATCAAATTGGTTAAAAAAGTAACATCAAATTAATAATTCATAACCGCGTTTTATTCCAACAAATTCATTTTAGTGAAAAAAAAAATCTAAAATTTTATATTTAAATCGAATTAATTGCAATATAAAAATTAATTGAATATTTACATATTTCATCCATCTTAAAATAAAATTAAAAGTTTTGAAATTCATTTCACTTGTTTTCCGGCAATAATATCATTACATAATTATTCTAATTTCATAGCATTTTTTTGCACTTTCATGAAATAATCAAATTATTGTAATTTTCAACTTTAACATTGACTTGCAGTCATTATTACAAAACAAACCCAAATTTGGACATAAATTAACAATATAAATCAAACAAGCCTGATGACACTCTTACATATATATATATATATATATATATATATATATATCTA